CATTTTTTTTCTTTCAATAGACAAAGATTCCTTTCAACTTGCCTGAAGCAACATATATATATATAAATATATTGTTTATCGAATTTTATCTAAAATTGAAAGAGAAAAAAAGTCAAAGCAGACCACTTATCTTTTGTTTGTTTTTTACTAAAAATGATATGTAAAAAATTAATACATTGACAGTTAAAACGCAAATAAGATAAATGAAAATTAAGTTTCAATTGACGGTAATGTCTTCACATAAGGATCTTGACCAAGTGATGTTGGCATACGTTTACCAAATGAATGTTTCGGAGCTGAATATTTATTTGATAAAAATTTTCTTTCGTCATGGGCACCTGGACCAGGAGTTTTACCTATTTGATAACAGAAAAATAAAAATAAGAAACTTTCTGTTTTGAATGTAGCAAAAGCAAAAACCAAAGAAAAATTACTTGAATGTTGTGTAGTCGATATTTGAGTACCTCCCGGGCGTGATTTCAATGTAATAAATGTATTTTTTGCTTTTAATTTTTGAAAAGCTGATATTGTATTATATGTATCAGGACCGGGATTATTATCCGGCATTAAATTTGGAGTTGTATGAAGACGTGTTGCAATAGACCATGCTGGAAAACTAATTTTAGTTACTTGACTACCTAAACTTGTTTTTGCTGGATAATGAAATGGTGTTGGCCAAACAGGTTCACGATTAAAATCAACTTTAGTTGTATATGGATCGGAATGTGCAAACCATTGTTTTTGCCAAGCTGTACGTGAGCCACCTGCTGTATAGAGACAAGAAAATTGTTGAACTATTTATTTTTTTCTTATTAAAATTAAAATTTACTTCTTTCAACTGAACATTTTGATCCAAATGAAAAAGCAGGTGCATTCTTTTCTCGACATGATTTACGTGGTAAGACATATGAACACGGTGATGGACCTCCATTGTCTTCAGCATATTGTACAATAAAATTACCAGTAATTGGATGAGAAAATAATGGTTTCTCTCTAAATTTAGTAAATATTTTTTTCTTCTCTTTACTGAGATAAATATCGAAACAAAAGTACGTTTTTGATAGGTCAAGGTTTTGTATTGTTAAGAAAGAATCGTAATAAATGAGAGATAATAATTGTTAATAAATGCTTCTATTTTTAGCAAGAAAAAAACATATCTTAATAAATGTGTATGTAAGGCATTACTTTTCATACGAATTATTTTCTCTTATGTCAGATTGAAAAGTTGAATATGACATAAGCGAGATTTACATTTTTAGTAACAAAAATTTCTATTAAATTAATAATCATCTAAGTATACAGGACGTACTATTCGAAAAAGTTATATTTATGTTGAAATGAGAAAAGTATGTTCGATGAGATTAAAAAGATGAAATTAAAAGGTAAGAAAAAATGTGTGCCCAATCTATAAAATAGAATTTTTTATATACCTATACAAGAGTGATATATCAGTTGGTACAGTATGCGGTGTATCACCTCGTAGTGGACTACTCTGATTTGATGTTGATTGCATTCGATTTCGTTCTCTTGATAATTGTATATGTTGTGATATCATTGTTGTACTATGTTCATCCTCATCATGATCACTATGCAATGTTAATTCTTCTGCATTGCCTAATTCCATTTGAAGTTTATCAGAAAAAACAGGTTCATGTTTCAGTGAAGGTGGTTTAAGAGATGCTCGTTGTCGTTTAAGTGCTAAACGTGTTGGTACAAGTAAAACTTTATTTTTAAGTAATGATGTTGAAAATTTTTGAAAATTATCCTTAGGATTTGGTATACGCTGAGACAAATCTTGTGCAAATGAAACTAATGAATTATGATGTGACTCTGGTATATTGAATGGCATAGTTGCCTTAGTTGATGTTGCTAAATCACCAATAGCCTGTGATGTTGGTGTTTTAACATTACTTTGATTATGCTGCAAATACGATGTGTCTGCTACTGCAGTCATCTCAATTGATTTCACTTGTTTATGTGAAAAAATGTTACAATACAGTATGTGATTTAATACATTTTCTTTTTCTTTTACTTCTCGGCGGACACATCTAACAAACAGAAATTTGATTCTTGTCTTTTATTTTCTTTTTTAAAAAAAAAAAAAGAAAAGTTATAGAAAAATTTTTCTACTTGACAATATTGAATGGTTGCATAGACAAACATAAACACAAATTCTCATACTGGAATAACAAAAAAAAACGAAAAAATGAATGAATATGCAAGACGGCAAATAAACATAGTCGTTTTCAACTAAGAGTAAATCTATTGAGAAGAAAACAACAAATAAGATTTTGTTGGAGAGAATAGAAGAAGTAGAAATTGACTACTTCAGTTTTTTAAGGTTTCATTCAATTAATAATGCTTCTATGATCCATAAAAATTGAGCTTCAGAAATTAAAGAAAAACATTTGTTTTTCACGTCAATATTTGTCTCTATTATAATAGTATATAAATAGAAGTTTTTCCTTGACAACATGAAAATTTTCTAGTTTTAATACAATGAAGAATAAATATTTAGTACTGAATAGTTTTGAAACTTTGATCTATTCTATTTTATTAGCGTTTTTTTTTTAAATCGTTAAAAAAATAACGTTTAATTCTTGAAATCAAACTTGAATGTTTACCATGCATCATATAAATCCTTATTAAAGTAAAATTTTCAATCAGTTACGATTATACAAAGTGAATAAATGAGAATTAAAATGTTTATTTTAATTAGGAAAATTTGTTGTTTGTGGTTTTTTGTTTGTCTAGGTTTGCTATTAAATTAATCTAACGATGAATATTCAATGTGATATACATATATTATAGAAAAAAAATGTACCTGGATGATGTTAAAATAAAATATCAGATTCTTTATGACACATTAAATGAGAAAAACTGACGCTAAGATGCGACAGATGTCCCTTTTTTTGTTTCATTTTTTATTATTCGTTTTGAGATCGAATATGCAACATATTGTGTTGATTGTATTGGACCTGTAACTATTTTCGGTACTATTGCTGATTTTACGAATACAGGAAATGCTTCATGACAGTCTTTTATTTGATTGGAGCAATTGTGCTCAAATTTTTTGTCAATAACCGATTTTCTTTTATTTCTTCGAATACCAATTAGAGATGTATTGAATTGAAATTAAAAGAGAACATGTTTTTGTTCTAAATATTTCTAGCAGAAATATATTTTTTGTTATAAAGCAGGAAAATGACAAGTAAATTATATAAATTTGTATTGTCCGGGTGAGAACAACTGATCATTTGTCTTAGTTATACTTCTCTTCAAGGTCAATTCGAATTTGCTTTTATACAGGATGGCCCATAAGTAACGCAACCGAAGTAAAAATTGAATATCTCCTGTACAGCTCAAGCAAAAAAGCTAATTTTTTCACCAGTGATAGAGACATGTATAAGCTATATATCCATAAAGACATATCTAGAGGGAGACTCTTTGTTAAGTATCACTATTGACCTCCATAAGAAAAATTTACTTTTTGACAGTTCGAAAAAAAAATCACTTTGCCGAAAAAAATTTAATAGCTCTACTACGGCTCGAGCTAAAGAGCTGATTCTTTTATTAATTCAAGAGGCTTGTTCAAGCTTTATATTCATAAAGACATGCCTAGAGAGATCCTCTGTTGAATATATTGTTTTATATTCTATCTATGAAAAAATAAAATTATTTTGTTGAGGTCATTAGTGGTACTTTATAAAGACTCTCTCTAATCTTGTCCGTATGGATTTAAAGTGTCAACATGCCTCTATCATTGATAAAAAAATCAGCTCCTTTGCTCGAGCAGTAGTGGAAATATTTAATTTTTTCTTGGTATCGTGACTTGTGGTCCATATATAGGGTGGCCCACAAGTCAGTTTACCNGACAAAAAAACTGAAAAATTTTATGAAAACTTTCTTGAAAGAAATTTTTTTTTGTTGAATAAAGTAGAGACTTCGGTCTATCGAATGATATAATGAAAATCAAAAAAAATATTTTCTTTTGCTTGTGAAATATGCTTCACAAGACAAGTATTACAGGGTGTCTAATAATCTCATATTTGTGCTTGTTTCATCAATTGAATCTTATTAATAAATTGAGCAAGTGAAAAATTAAAAATCATTTGTTTTTTGGCGTTCAGTTCAAAATAATTGTGTTGATGAAAGAGAAAATTTAGAGAAAAAAAAATAACAATATCAATTTCTTTTGATTAATACAAATTATCATCAAACTGACTTATGATAAATTGTTTGAAAAGGCTACATTGTTTTAAGAATGATCCTTGTCATTGACAACAAATATTTTCATGTGAATATTCTTTTGTACTTTTGTTTCTATAATGCATGACATATGAAAAAAATATTTTTGAGCCTGAAGGTATCAATGAGCCTAGGTTCAATTAAGACATAATATATTTTATTAGAAGATTGAAACTTGATTAGACTCAATAGATAATACTCGTGTCACTTATCTATGTGGCATTCTATGACATTATTCTTATAGGTTTTCTAGATGAGAAAGAATTTTTATTTCATTAATTCTCATCCTGTTCGATGCCTCAAGGTAGACGCCATCTATTGAATTTAATAAAATTTTAATATTCTCATAAAAATAGATTTTTCAGCGTCGATTCCAGCTCACTTCAATCTTCAGGCTAAAAAGAAATTCTCGTCCGTAAGACATACAATATGCACGTAGTTTCTATCTTTATGAATCATTTTGACTGATGTATCCTTTCGATTTCACGTAATGTGTAATATGTCAATATTCAGTTGTGTAACATTTCTATTTTTGAAATTATTTTGTGCTTCACTTCATCTCTTTTAAATTATACAAATTTTGACATAACAATAAAATCCATCGAAAAATCAAATAGATGCTCATCAAACAATCGTTATATGTTCTATAATATCATACCAGAGATTTCGATTTATATATTTATTTCTGCAAGCCCAACTTTAAATAATATCACAATGTTATTCAAAAACAATTAAAATAAAATAAAATTGTCCTAAGCAACAGATGTTAAGCCTTTTTCAAGTATATTAAGAATAATAACATAAATAGGTGCAAATTCTTTTTGTTGTCGATTTCGAACTGTTTGAACATATGTTTCTAATGTTCCTCTAGAACAAAAAAAAAAATAAAGATATTTATTCAAAAAAATAATCTTAAAACAAAAAAGAAAAACAAAATATACTTGATCATTACTAATCGATCACTCATATTTGGATGTTCATCAAGCCATTGAATATATCGACTTATTGACCAATTCATTACCTTTCAAAAACAAAAACAATGAAATCAAAAAATAAGTCATTATATTATACTTGATGTGGTGAACGCATTTCAATAGGTGCCCTTGAAAATAAATGATGAAGAACAATATCATATGGAACAACATCACCAATAGCTGAATTATTTTGAAATTCTTCTGTATTTAAAATCAATAAAGATCGAAATGCTTTTAAAATTTTATAATGTTTTCCTAAATCAGTTAATCGACGACAAAATGGTGACAAAGCAAGTTCAATTTGTGCAAAATCAACAACTAAACGTAATAATCCACCTTCACCTAATGGTCGAACAAGACTAATATGTTCCATAAATAAAATAATTGCTCGACATGCAATTGGTGCAAGACTTAAAAGAAAAAAAAAACAGAAGTTTTTTTTTTGTTTTTAAATAAAACATATTAAACTTACTTTTCATACATAAAATCTTTACACTGAAATTCACTAAAATAATCTTTTTGTATACGTATTATAAATTCTTGTAATTCTTTCATATATAATGAACTTTGTGAATCAGATTGACTTCCAGCTGATCTAACAAAAATAAAATAATTTTAAATCTTTTAATTTTAAATTTATTGATTATTTAATACTGTGAAAAATCTTCCGTATGCATTGTAGCAAGTATAGCTTCAATACAATCAGCAACAGAATTAAGAAATGGATGAATTGCTGTATGCATTAATGAATGAACACACTTTAGAAAAGAAAAAATTTTATTCAACTAGTTTTTTTTTTCTTGCTTCATATTTTCATACTTGTAAAGCATCAGTTATACGTGTCGTTGCATCGGATGAAAGATTTTGTTGTTCAGAAAGCATCTAAATAATAACAATATATAGGAAAAGTTTTTTTTTGTTTTTATTAAGAATATTAAACCTTATTAATCATTGAACAGAAATTATAAAGAATATTAATTGCGGATATATTACGTAATTGAGCTGGTGTTGGTACAGAAACAACTTGACTTCCTTCACTATCCGTACAAATCTATGATAGAAAGTAAGAAATACTTCTGCTTTATTTTTTTTAATATAGATTCTTTTGAAGTTTATTTCATACCGATTGTTCGCATCTATAAAGATTAGGTATAGATATATATAATAATAGGTATGTAATTAATTAAACTTACTTTGCTGCAAATAATTGAATAGCTTTACCTATATTACGTGCGACTTTATTAACTAATGCTTCACTAACAGTTGAAACTGATAATTCACTAAAAGAAAGACAAATGATATAAAACTTTCGAATTAATAAGTCTTAATGTAGCGTTTTCGAATGTTTCATGTTTCCTTCACAAAGAAAATGATGTAATTTGGTTTTTGAAAAATAATAAAAATAAACAAAAGTTTAGCATATTAATTATACCTTCAATAAAACGAAGCAAGTACAGATATTTTCGAATATGAATAATTAAACATTGGATTGTATTGCTCTGCTCGAACAGTCATAAAATGAGTTGCTTCCACTTATAAGTGAACACTTAGCTTTTGCACCATGTTGACCTTTCTCAACTTACGAAAAACGTTTTCAACTAATCAATCAATTTCTCATCGAAAAACTGTGGTTTATAGGTGGTCGACTATGCTGCTTTTCCAGACCAACAAACTTTTCTTCAAAACTTTTTGTTTTTATTTTTCTAGATAGTAGAACTTATCGAATTGCCTAGAAAACAAAGACTTTTTCTCGAAGTAAATCCTAAACAAATTTGACAGAGTTTATTTTAGTCAGAAAAACCAGCATATGAAGACTTAAGAGGATCTTTTATGGTCATATTCGAAATCAATATATTCGATAATCCGTAATAAAGTAACTTTTGATGACAAAGCAATGGATTAGTTGAACACAGTTCTTCATTAGAAAAAGATGGATTAGAGTAGCGATCTTACGAAAATCACGTTAAAATACTCAATTTTCAAGCAAATAGATAAAGCAAAGAAGTTGATATACTACTAGAGGTCGACAAGTTCAAATCTAGGTTGGATCTGATGAACTTTTGAACACGTGTCTGATCGAGTTGATGAGGAATTTGAATTCGCGGAAAATTCCAAAACCAACCAATCCGAAGCAGTAAAATATTCCACGCAGTATATAGCTATACCACTATAGCGGTATAGTGGTATTAGAGATGTAGAATTTTAGAGGTGTTCAATTTATGTTGAGCGGAAGCTGCAGATAGACGAAACTGTGTACAGGGAGATGAACGTAGGTCGCGGCTCTTCGAGAGGCGCTATGCACCCCCCCCTCCCACGTTGCAACGCAGAAATAAAAGGTGAGTTACGTGGACCGAGAAGTTTCTGACTAATGAATGCTTCCGTATGCATACTGCATTGCTTTATTGCTTATACCGCTATAAAATATAGTGGTATAATTTTATTTTGTTACAAATAGAGATGATTATAAAGAATATGATTTTGCCACAAATTCGAAATCCCCATCATATGCTCTGATCTGTCCAAACATTTTTTGGTTCTATTTTTAACAAATAGACTCCCAGGTTTAAAATGTCTTTGTTCTATTTTAGGTATTGCACTTTAGGGTATAGAAAATCTTTGTTGTTTTACTCTAATACTGTTCCCAATGCATTAAAAAAAAATTCGAATAGTTCAATTTCAATGGCTGAAATGTTCGACCTCAACATATAACATATATCGGAAAATATTTAACAAGAAAAACCGTCCGAATGTAAACAGATGAGTACGCTTAGCTGTAGACAACAGTAGATCTTAATAAAGAAAATTACATTAGCAAAAATAAAACTTGATTATTTGATCATTCATCTACGTAGACAAGTTATTAGTATCATAAATTTTCAGTTGTTTAATTTTAAAAAATGTAACAAATAAATCTTCTTTCAAGATAAATTCCTTTCATAAAATGATTCTTACTTAATAATAACTTTAATAAGATTTTCTAATTCTTGTTGTGTAGGTAATAGTTTTGTTGTACTACTACTAAACATAAGATTAATAGGATCGGATAAACGTGATAATGATATTGATAAATAAGATTTTTCGAATATATAAAAACATTCATTTAATTGTATATTTGTTCTAATAAAAATAAATGATTAAATATTAATTAACAAAAATAATTAAAACAAACTTTTGTTTTCCATTTAATTGTTCTGAATCATATAATTCTTCATCTATAATATCCATGTCAATATCACTAAAACCTGGTTGTAATTGATTTAAACGATTAATTAAATCATTTTGTAATTTTAATAATTTTGGATATTCGCCTTCTAATGCTTGTCGAAGATGATATGAATCTTAAAATTAATAAAAATATAGTTATTTTCTTCTTTTTATATTTAAAATGATCTGTTTTTTTTTTTTACCTAACATGGATGTTTTCATTTGTTTTTTCAATGATTTCATAGCACCTATCCAAAATTTTCCAACTAATTCACCTGAATGACCATGCTAAAAAGAAACCAAAATTTCATAATTATGATAAAAATTGTTCGTTTATTTTTTCTTTACTTTAATTAATTCATCAATAAAAGTGCAATGTGTAATTGAATCTTTCTTTTTAACTAAAACTCTTGCAAGGTTATATAATTGTGCAATATAACCATATAATAAATCAAGTATTTTTTCAATATTTGTCCATAATAATGCACGAAATTGTGGTGTATTACCAATATTTGGCATTGTTGTTCGGCCTGGATTTGATGCTAGATAAAATATTTGAATCGAATATATTGGTTTTTTTTTCTATACATGTTAATTATTTCAATAGTATACATACGATCTTTACTCTTTGATAATTGTTTTAAATCAAGATAATCAGAAATTTGTGTTTGAAAATTTTCTAAAAGACGTTGTTCAATGGATTGAATACGATCGTAAAGTGTACCCAAATTAAAAAATACTTGTAATGCTGTACCAATTTGAGCAGGGTTCTATTATTAGAAAGCAAATGATGTTGTTTTGAAGAACAAAAACTAATATTATCTAACAAACCAAATGATTAAGACCATTTTCTAGAACATCTTGTGTTTGAGTTTGAATATCATGGCGAGCTTTAAAGACAAATTGTAGATCTTTTTCTACAACATCAATACCCGTAAAATCCGAATCAATTGTATAATGATCTGAAAATAAATTTTCAAAAAGTAGAATTTTTGATGCTGAAATATATTATTACCTAATTCACTTAAACATTGAGAAGCTTTAACTAATTCGATTTGTTGTTGACCTGTATTTGAAGGTGACATATACGTTTGTAATTTTTTTGTTTGTTGCATTATTCCTTTAATACGACGCAGAAGATCACATGTATTCTATGACAGTTATTTGAAATGATTTAATCAAAAAAAAAAAATTAATAATTTAATTTTACTTGAAGACGAGTTAATTGATATTTTCGAACTAAAATTTTATTGTAAGGTTCAGTAACTTTTGAAGATATCCTAATAAAATATAACATAAAAGAATAATTTTAGTTTTGATCAAGATGTTTAATAATGATATCTAATTAAAATACAGTACTAGTTAAAAATAGAAGGGAAATGTATTTGTGGGTTTTGTTCTAAGATCATTTAACTTAAAAGTCAAATAGTAGTTTCAATAGCCGATAAAGTACTCTATCAAATGAATTCTATACCGAAATTTCATAGATGGACTATGAAAGGAAGATTTTTGAAAAACCAAACATGAAAGTTTTCAGTTCCAAAATACTGTGTGAAAATTAGCTTTGAAGAGTACCATTTGAAAGAACACAAAATCTTGAGGAAAATGAGGGATTACTACATATCTTACGAACTTCTGATAAAAAGTTACAAGCAACACAAAACATTAAAAACTTATTATAGCACTGCTAAAAAAATGCTTTCTTTTTTCGTTTTTTTCCGAAGTTTATAACTTTTAAAGGGAAGGTCATGGAAAGTATGGTGGTCCTTTAGTTAATTGAAGATTTTGTGATCTTTGAGATGAAATTATTCAAATCTAGTTTTAACACAGTTTTTTGTACCCGAAATATACCACGCTTGGCTTTTCAGAAATTTTCCTCTCATAGTTCATTCAAAGCATTATTTGGATTTAAGCTAAATACTTGAGATTGTAGAGAAAAAATATGTTGCTCGTGTATTTTTGACCGGTGCTGTATATGCTTGGAGCTCAGCTATTATATAGTCGTACGAGTTTTTAAACAAAAACCTTTATTACTTGATCGTCTAACTTGATAAGATTTTTTGTATATGACTTAAAATATCGATTAATATTGGATGTCTATTGGCCAGAATTATATCTGATAAATCTTGAAAGAATTCTATTTTATTGAATAAAAACGTTTAAGTGAATATGTGTGAAATAAAACTTAATCATTTTCTGTTAGTTTCTAATGTTAGAAAATTCTTTTAATAGAACTAAATTTTTTGAAAAAATGTCTCGATAATTAAGAAATTATGAAAAAGATTTTGTTTCTATTTCAGAAACAAATACAAAAGATCATTTAGTTTTAAAAGTTTAAAGGCTTATGAAGAATTCATGATATTAATATTCATTGAAGGTATATTTAGACTTTAAAAAAATATGTAAGAAAATTTCTTTTGCGTATGATTAAATTTAGCATGACTTATGGAAAACTATTTCACTCAGCGGATGTGTCATTTTGTTTTAATTAGATTCACTTATAGACAGTAAAATTTTGGTTCTATTGAATTAATTTCATTTTAAGTTTTGTTTTTCATAAAATAAAATAAACAATTAATATTTTTGAAAAACAATATAAAAACCTGTCTACAGTTGATTTCAATGATCCAATACGTGATTGCATATTTTCTAAGACATCTTCAATTGTTCCAATTGATGATGCTTGACGAAAAAGAACTGGTGCATTTGATGATACCTTAAATGATGAGTTTATCAATGAAAACAAGACTAAAACAAAATTATTCTTTCAAATTTTTTACTTGTTGTTTTATTTCAGCATCAAGTGTTCGTATAAGTTCATTTAAATGTTGTAAATAATCAGCAACAAGTTTTGTTTGTAAAATATTTGCTGAAAACGATTTTATATCAAAATCATCTTCAATAAAATCTGTGAATGATTCTAAATAAACATCAATATACATATCAATTATATTTTGTTCTTTAATATATCTTATTTTCTGTTTCTTTTTTGTTCTTATTACCATCATTCAATATTGTACATTCCATCTACAAATATTATAGATAATTTCTTTTGGTTTTTTATTTATCAAAAAGAAAAAAGAAAACAAAAAAATGTTTTTTTTGTAGCAGCATTCAATCACTGCTAGGATTTTTTCCGAATGTATTTTCTTTATCTACGTTTTGTTTTTCTTTTCCGTTTTTAAACGTACAACAACGAACAACAAACGAAAAAAAGAAAGAGCGAGAAAAAAAAGAATATGACAAAACAAGAGGAAGTAATTATGATAAAGGTAAACCAATGAAACACATGTGTTCAATAAAAACAAAAAAAGCACATGTATTTTTTTTTTTTTTTTGTTTAAGGAAAGTGAGAAAAAAAAGGGACAAAGTTGATGTCTGATATGATCGCAGTCCTTCATTTAAAACAATGCAAGATAAAAAAAAACAGAACGAAAATAATAACTATTGGATCAATGCAGCAATATTGTTGCTATTCGCGGATGGAATATCAGCAGATGAAGGATTTGTTGATGTTACTGATTGATCATTATGTTCATTTATTTCATCATCATGTTCATCGTTTATGAATAGCTAAAATAGAAATTTTACAAATTTCATAAATAAAATTATTGTTATTAAAGAGCAAACAAAATAAAAGAAGAAGTAAGATAAAACGCACGAAATTAATAGCTAATAGAAACGAAAATATTCTTCATACCGAAACGGAGATGACATCTCTTTAGGAGGAGGATATGTTAAATTTGTCCTATAAGTATAAAATGGTAATTTAAGAATTGTATACAATAAGTGCATAGATTTATGATATACTCATCATAGATAAAATTCGTGGTTGTATAACCACATGTATATCTGTCTACCTTTTTGAATTGTTAGAAGATATTTATGTTGCTATTCTTTGTAATCTTAGAATAAATAGAATTAACATAGAATAGTGTCATTACATTCCGATATAAATACAACCTTTATACCGGGTTGGTTTAACCAAATTAGATCAATGCCAGTGATATATTATGAACATATATTAATACTTTTAAATTTCCTTTTGTTCAATATAGAAGACCGACAAAAGATAAATTACTTTGTCAGCATGAATATAAATAATTCGAAAATGTTCTATTCTTGATATTTATTCAAAAAAGTCCTTTTTTTTTTTCTTTTAGAACTCTTTTGCATTACAAAAAGATTTTTTTTTGTGAATAAATTATATTGATTAATTTATATGAAACAACCAATCAAATAGAATTTCTTAGCTTTATGACATGATTGTCATATAGCTACACAAGAATTTGAAGATGTTGAAATTATTTTCGTCTTTCTTATTTTTCATATTATCTAAGATGTAAGATATGATTCAGACAAATCAAATTATTTGATTTTGTTCTAGCAATAAAATCGGTTCATTTTCGATTCTTGAGGATAATGAAAATCTTTTCAAAACAAAATTCTTCAATAATTCCAATCAATAAAAACTCGACTATATAAATTTTCTTGAAAGGAAGCAATTATTGAAAAATTTGCTAATAAATTATGGATGTATATAAATGAACAACAATGAGTCGTTTTTTTTTTTTTATGTCAAAAAGCGGTGATGATAATAATAATAGTAACAATCACCTCGAAATTTAATCGAGCATAGTTATTACAATTCAATGAAAAAAAAAACAGATAGCTCACGAAAAAAAATAGTCGAAAACTTAAAAGAATTGAAATAGAAAATCTCTTACTCTCATTTTCAAAATTGAATATAAATGAAAAAAAAAAAAGCAAAGCAAAGCAAAGAATGGAAATGAAATCTTAGTTTCATGTTAAATAAAATCACTGAAGATAAATAGATAAACATGGTGGAAAAAGAGCACAAAAAAGAAAAGAAAACACAAAACAAGATCATTTCTTGTGTAAAACATATAAATGTGTGAATTTAATGCATACAAAGCAAATAGCTGAAACTACTAGAATAAAAATACTGCATTGATGTTGTTGTATTTTGCTGAAAGGTATTTTGTTATTATTTTCCTTTATTTACATATCTTATTTTACTATTTCTTTTTCTTTTCGATTGAAATATATCAAAACTTATTTTCATTTACCCCACTGCTTGAATTTCCTGTATAATTTGTTCCTTTTAATATTGAATCAAATATATTTTCGAATACTGAACGTCTAAAAGTAAAATAATAATATTTATTGATAGATCAACAAAGAATTTACACTCCTGAGCAAAAATTTTTCCCTTCTCCCGTCCTATTTACACAAAAAAAAAAAATTTTTAATATTTGCTTTCTTTTTATTATATGACTTAATCTTATGTAACAATGACTAATGTGAATCGATATCGAGCATAGCCTCTTTTCATTATTCTTTTCTAAGATTTTAATCATGTCAATTTCTCTATTATAACGCTATGAACGTGTGTTTCTCAAGGTACATCCGCTGAGTCTTAAAATATTAAATAAAACTATTTCGAAGTATATTGAGTGTAAACCAAAATCTGTACGACATTGGCATGTCAGATGGGAAAAAATTAAAGATCTGTGTTATTTACTAAAAACTCATGAGTTGTTCAATTCAAGTTCAAATATAAATGATATTCTATGANTTTTTCTTTTCGATTGAAATATATCAAAACTTATTTTCATTTACCCCACTGCTTGAATTTCCTGTATAATTTGTTCCTTTTAATATTGAATCAAATATATTTTCGAATACTGAACGTCTAAAAGTAAAATAATAATATTTATTGATAGATCAACAAAGAATTTACACTCCTGAGCAAAAATTTTTCCCTTCTCCCGTCCTATTTACACAAAAAAAAAATTTTTTTAATATTTGCTTTCTTTTTATTATATGACTCAATCTTATGTAACAATGACTAATGTGAATCGATATCGAGCATAGCCTCTTTTCATTATTCTTTTCTAAGATTTTAATCATGTCAATTTCTCTATCATAACGCTATGAACGTGTGTTTCTCAAGGTAAATCCGCTGAGTCTTAAAATATCAAATAAAACTATTTCGAAGTATATTGAGTGTAAACCAAAATCTGTACGACATTGGCATGTCAGATGGGAACAAATTAAAGATCTGTGTTATTTACTAAGAACTCATGAGTTGTTCAATTCAAGTTCAAATATAAATGATATTCTATGAGTATGATATCATTTCGAAAGTGAATGAAAAAATTCGTATTAGTATTCTTATTTTAGAACAGTCAAAATAGTCGAATATAAATTTTTGTCTCGGTAATAATTATTGTACGGACAACATTGTTTCTGTGATGATTAATGTTCTGAAAGCTTTTATTAGAGTTGTTCTTAAAACAAAAGCCTGACCTAGAATGCGTAACTATGCAGAAGTACTTTTCGCAGTCTACTTATGTCACACGTTTGTTTGGACTACCACCGGTATACATACCGTGGTATTCAACCGGCGATAGCACTTTTGATTTTCGGTTCTAGGTAAAACAATTTTAGACTGTTTTCTAGGTAAATTCGAATTATTAGATAGAATTCAAATTAACCGAAAAGAAAACAATTTCAGAATAGATTTCATTAATAAAAATTTTTGCAATGATATCTATAATAAAAGTTCATCTCGTAACTATAGTCACTTTAAATCAAACTTTAACAATATTCACTCGTTCTAATGAAACATTTTCATAAAACCAGTAGTATAACAGACATTACACCTATCAGATTACCGGCGATAGTTACTACATGGGCTAACCGACTTTTTACATCAGAATCGCAGTATGGGAACATGTAGAGTCTCCATGACCCATGCTCGTTTCTGTATACATCGTAGACTGTATGGTGATAATATCTGCAACCACACCTCCTCCTGAGTCCAAAATTTATCTTTGACACTTTGGTTCTTATGACCTACAAACTCTTTATTTAATCATAACTGAGATAATATTTATTTTTGCTTGTTCTAATATGAATGTCTTCACTGAAATTTTGATTTAAAGGGAGAGAGTAGAAGATTTTTGCTCAGTAGTATATATACTATTTTCTTACTTTGAAATAAAACCACCACCAACTGGTAGTGCTTCACGAATAGATGGTTGCTCATTAAGAGATGTAACAACTTGTTGCCAAATTGTATTTGAATCTAAAGTTGTTTTATTTGGATTACGATTATAAATTTCTACAATAAAAAAAAAAAAAGTCAAATAATTAAAAATCTTTGAAAACAAACAAAAATTTATACCAAGAGTCTTTTTTCTTATTTCATTATTTAATGTTTCATCTTTTGTTTTCCATTCTGGACTTGGTATAGGTGCACCTTTAAAAGCAATTATTATTAAGCTCATATTATCTTTGCTACCCTAGAATATTTCAATAGAAAAAAAATTTTAAATTATTTTGTGTTCTTTTTTTGTAAATAAAACAAATAAACGAACTTTATACAAACACATATCAAGTACTGAATTACAAATTTCATTAAGATCATCTGTAACATGCATACGACCAAGTACATATGCAGCTAATTCTTCATTTGTCATAACATCCCATATACCATCACAAGCAAGTACGATAAGAGCAGTTTGTTCTTCTTGTTTACCAGAATCTGTTGTTAAATTACGTGTATGACATGTTACTTCAGGTTCAGGTGAAACAAGTTGTTGATCTGGTCGACGATTTGAATTATTTTTATATTCAAAATCTCCAAGTGCACGTGATACAGCTAATGAACCATTGACACGTTGAATTAAAACAGTACCACCGGCTTCTTGAATTCGTTGACGTTCAATTTGATCACCTACGTTAAAAGAAAAATATTTTGTAAAGAAATAAAATTTCTTCGTCAAAATAAAAAAACAAAAATTTTTACTTGGTTTATGATCTTTTGTAGCAAGCAGAACTCGACCTTCATTTGATACAAGAATAGCACGTGAATCACCAACATTTAAAAAAAAGACTCGTTCTGTATCAATTAAACATGATATAGCTGTTGAACCACTTTTATCATCTATAAATAATCATAGACGTTTTCTTTTTGTAAACAATTTTTATCTTTATTTTATTCTTTTCATACCTGGATTATTAATTCGATTTTCTTCTCTCCATTCATTATCAAATTTAAAATAAGCATCTTTTATAGCCATTTCAAATTTATTAAAATCAAGTTGTGATGATATTATATTTACTAATGGAGATTTTCCATTAAGATTATCTTGTACTAATGTATTAAGAGATGATACGATATGTAAATGAAGTTTTTCAGCAGCTTTAGTAGCTGTACGAAATCCAGCATGACCATCAAATACACCAAAATAGGACCAATGTGACCAATAATTATCATCTAATTTAAGTATAGTAGCATGTGCATCTTCCATATCCACACTAAATTCATAAGAATAATTAATAAAGAAAAAAAAAAAACAAACAAAAAGATCTACCGCCATCCTTGCATAGATCCAAGACCATAACGAATATCATCATTTTTACCTCGACTATTATGTTTTTCAGTTTTAGGTTTATCCAAAAACTGACCCATTGATCTAAGTGAAATGAACGAAAAAAAAAGCATATTTTATTTAAAATTCATATTTTTTTAATAAGAAATATTTGATGACAATTTCAACAAACTTGATATTCTCAGTAACTGAAACATTTTCAGATGGCAACGAATAATTATGCTGAAAAGATCGATGAACCATTGATGTTACAATACCTATCAAACGTCGTTGGCAATGCTTAAATGTTTTCTTATTCATATATACTATTTCATGTGAGAATACTCGTTGTCTCCTTTCATTATCAAATATTATACTGACATATTTATTTTCAATCTTTATTTTTAGATATGATCAACAACAGCTGATTCGCATACCCAAGACTAAATAAAAGACAAATTCGAAAAATTTGCTTTGTTCGCACACAAAATAGAATCAACAAAACTAAAATCAATAATGAACAAGTCTCAATAATTAATCGACTTTTAAAATGATAGCCGCTTTATTGTACTCAATATCGACTTCAAATTACTACGATGATAATAGTTCTAATATTTTGTATACCATAAATAATTGTAAAGAATATATTGATTTATTTGTTCTTCTATTGTTGAAGTCGAATAATTCGAAAGACTATTGAACGAATCTATTGTTCTTTAATGAATAGAATTACTTACCTATTTGTTTATTGTCACCAAAAGCACACTGACATACACTCACACACACACTCAATAAAAAATTCTTATTTTAACCGTAATTAATGAGTGTTCTAGAAAAAATAAACAGTTTATTGAAAAACTTTATTCTTTTTAGATATATAAAAAAAAAAAAATTCTTACGTGTAAGGAAAAAAACATTTATTGATAATTAAGATTGAAAGAACATAATTTAAATTCTAAAATTTAAATTCTAAAAATTTAAATTAGTTCAAAAAAGAAACTCTTTTTTTTTAAGAGAAATTATAAAATAAAAATTTATATATTTATCTTTATTCATCGAGAAATATATTTAATCGATGAAACACAGGATTATTTTTCTTCAATAGAATAATAAAACTACTTTTGTTGAATAAATAAGACAAAATAACAAAAAAAAAAAGATTTGTCTCTTGTTTTTTTGAACAGTGCACGCCTCGAGATATATATTCTTTGAAAAAAAAACCCTAATCATCAAAGGTAAAAATGTAAGCCTACTAGGAAGTTACAATCATCAATAAAAACATACTCTCTTATGATTCATGAAAAACAAACATACTTATTTCTCGATTAAAATTATACAAATAATAGTTTAACCAATGAGGAAATCTCACCGGACAAATGCAAGTCGTATATAATAGATTATAATGAGTTATTCAATTAACTATTAAACACTTGCTATCTTCGTCTACTCTATGTTTTATCTTTGATCATACGAATCTGTACTTTTTTTTATATCAAGAAGTTTTTAAACATGAATGGTCTGGAGGATATTCACGGATCTTATAATTTTGATTATCTACAAGTCTATTAGTTATATAAAATCTTTTTCAGAAATTCTTTAGGTCAAAAATGACTTCATAAAAATTCGAAAGTCTTGTTTAAATATTTTTATCAATGAATATACATTTACTGAATCGAAAAAAAAAACAAAATTTATCGTCTATCTAAAAAGTACTATTTTTTAAACATGTTATAATCAGTCAAGCGAAAAAAGTTTTACAAACGAAAATGAATAATGATGATGATGGGACAAGTTTAAAAATGATTTCTACTTTTTTTTTTTGTTTGTTCGTTCATTCTTTTTTTATTTGCTTGTTGTCATCGCCATTGATAATGCATTATTATTCTCTATCTATATCGATAGCAATATTTTTTCATTGGACAAAAATTTGATCGTTCCGAAGAAACCATAGATGGCATACTTGAATTAACATGGCAATATTTATCTGATCAAAAAAAGCTGAAATATCGAGCTTCAGAATTTTCATTTGATTATGCAAAGTATCACGCCAAGTAACCGTGATCACTTGTCAAGATGTAGATATTTATCGAAGAATACGAAAAAAGAAACGGATAGAGGCCTGGTAAAGAATATAAATATTTTTCTTTATGTAGATTAAGATAACTAATTTGCATGTCTTAAAGAAACTATCGATAGATGTATCATTGAATTGGTGAGAATGAAGACAAATTGATCAGGTGTTTTCTTTTGTTGATAATTGTATTGTATTTTAGAAAGTTATCACTATAAAAAAAATGACTATGTCTTCCTTAAAAGTCGTTTTATTGACAGATTCTGATTCACTTAATCAGAATATACCATTACCATATAAATATTATGGACAAAAATTATGGGAAACAATTCAAATTATTGTAAATCACTTCAATTATAGCTGTGAAACAGTAGAGTTAAATAAACTTGATTTTCAAGAACATGAATCTGTCAATAAATTTCTTAATGCTGATATTGTTATTATGGTTAGAATAAATCTTATTTTTCTTTTTAAATAAAAAACTATGTACTTGATTTATAGGATGTTACAAATCAAGATCGTCGTCCTATATTCATGTATCACAAAGGCAATCGTGAAAGTGTAGATTGTGTAGATGATATTGTATTAATTCAAGCTAGTGGTGTTGAAAATGATGATGCTATTGAAGATCTGAAAGTAAATATAATTCGAATGGAATTTCTTTTATCCAAAAAAAAAAAAAAAAACAAAAATTTCTTTTCAGACGACATGCAAAATAAAACAAATGATTGTATATCGATATGACGAAGAAAAAGGTGTTTTTTATGATGTAACAACACGAACAGTAAAGCCATCACCATTACTTAAAACAAGCATAAAATGTTTTTTAAAGGACGCTGCTAATAGTATGCAGTAAGATCTTAGTTTATTAAAAAAAAAAAAGACTACTAATTTAATATATATATAGACAAGGTCTTGCTACTCGATATTTAAATCGTTTGGAGAAACGTAAACATGAAGCTCATGATTCCAATGCTGAACGTAAAGTATGTTTAATTTGTCTTTTATTTTCTTTATTAGATAAATAAAATCTTAATGTTTGTTTTTTTCTTCTAGTATTTATGGGAAGAAATTTGTGATGAAATTCTAACAGAAGGAAAGCAACAATATGCTACACCAAAATTAATTACACAATTAATGTATGCTTTTCGAGATATACAAGTAAAATTTGAAATATTTCATTTGAATTTGAAATATATTTAGTTTTTGAATTTTATTAAAGGATTATCAATCAATGATAGAATTAATTGAACGTTGTGAACAAAATGAAATAACTTCAAGAAAAATTCAAAATAATATGATGATTTCATATTTAAAAGCATTTGCACGTAGTCGGTAAATATATGATAATTCTTTTGAAGAAAAAAAATAAATAAAATAATTAATACAAATAATTTATTTTATTTATTAGACGAAATCAAAATAATGATCGTGATAAAGCATTAGAAATTCTTACAAGATTATGTCAAACAAAAAAAACTGAAAATGAATTATCAAATGATATTATTTGTTTATGTGGAAGAATTTATAAAGATAAATATACGGAATCAAATTGTCAAGATAAGGATTCATTAGACAAAGCTATTGAATGGTATCGAAAAGGTTTTGCTGCTGATCCTAATATCTAGTAAGAATTAATAAGAAATAAATAATTTCTTTTTTAAATTTCATATATTCATTATTTTAGTGCTGGTATTAATTTACTATTTCTTTTGGCAATTACAACAGATGATTTAAGAAAAAATAATGAAGCATATAAAATTAGTAGGTTGATCAACGAAAAAAAAAAAGATACATTTATCAGGAAATCAATATTTATTTTCAAAAAGGTTGTTAATGTATTTGATATATGATAGATAGAGTGCTACTAATAGAGTTTAGGAAATAATTGAACTTGTAGTTTTTGACAGAGTTGATATGTTTTATAGTTAGTCGAAAACAAATGAAAAATAAACACTAATGTTGATTTTTAAGCATTAAAATTGGCAAATAAGTTCAATTCAATTAACGACGAAACGTTTCGAAATGTGTCTCGTCAATCGAATTGATATTTTGTTGATAAGTAGACTTCAACGAGACCCACAGAATTTTATAAAGGTTCGTTCACATGCGTACTCCTTCCCAAATTATGACAATGTTACTGAATTTTTTATCTGTGACAAAGTATTTGTGAAAAATTGAATTATGAAATTTCAACCTGGAATCTTACCTATAGGTAGGTCACGTGTATCTTAGAAAGGCACGAAAATTTGAGCTTAAAGAAATGTATTCTTCTTGAGATATTAAATATATGCAAAAACAATCATGTATTACAAGAAAACGTAAAAGAAGGCCCAATGTTTTCAATATTCGAAATCTCAAGAAGAACACATCTCTTTAGACAGAAATTTCNTTCTTTTCTTTATATTATTTTCTATATATTCTTTCTTATCCTGTTCTTTCATTTCATTTCTTGACTGATGATGTTATGAGTTCATAACGAAACGTCTCTTGTTATATTAAATAATAAGATGATAAAAACGGTGTCTATTATTCTCTTATTTATATTAAAATGTCTTCATCGTATAAACAAATGTAAATCTAGGTACTTTTTAACAAGAATGAATGTGAAAGAGGTTAAGTTCTATCGTTTCTTAAAACTGTCCAATCTTATTTATGTCCCAGCAGTGACATTCATATCGAAATGAAGTCTTTCTTTTGATTTCAAATCTTCATAATTATGTTAAATAACTATGTAGAAATTATACTTCAATCCCAGTTTGATAAAGTCTGAAAATCGGTTCTTCTCTCATAATCGAAATAAATCTGATATAATCACCGATTTTTTAGTGAAATACGATTAATCGCGATTCAACACCGAATTTTCGATAAATCGCCACAATGACGGCGATTTTTACGACATGGGTTAGCATGATGATAATATTCTTTGTCTTATTCTGAACATGGTTTACGATAAAAATCACAGTAATCCTATATTGCAACAGAAAGTATTCTCTTTCTATAGTAAAACAATGTTCTTGTATCTTGATCAACCATTTTTTTAATCTATATATTCTTTGATGACTCAATTTTTATTCTTTGAAAGAGTATGTCAAGACTCAGGGAATAATGTCACCAGCTTCTTTTTAAGGCTCACTTATTAAGCGCAAAAACACGATCAGCAGTTCCATTATTCAAAAACCTCACTAAAAAAGAGTGTCTAATTATATAAGTATCTGTATATATAACAAAAACAAAGTTTACTTTAAAAAACGATTCCGTTATGCGTTGGGTCTTGGCATGCTCTTTCAACGGAAGAAATTAAAATGTATAGGATGAGCCTAAAAAGAAGAATTTGAAATGCGCTATCAAAAACAAATAAACTGACAAACGAAGAGCATTTTTCATTTCATCTCAAAAATGCCTCTTTTCAACGGAAATCATCAAAAATTATAGGAAAAAAAGGCTTGCCAAATAATAAATTATACTGTTTCTGAAAGACAAGATCTCAAGCTACCCTCCCCCCTTGCATTTATCTCAATTTCGATGATTCTGACGAAGACGAACGTTTTTTGCAGGTGCGAAAACCTTAAGCAATTTATTTCTGATCTCTTGATCATACAAAGACTCACAAAGATAAATCTTCCCGAGCAGATTCTTGAGTAAGGACGAAACATCGTACAGGGCTTCAAAATGATCTTCTTATCTTCTTCATCATTTTATTGTTTAATAGGAAATATTGTAAATAGTCGACAGCTCATATTGACCAAATTGAGTGTTTTACATATTTCCACGTAAAAATAAATTCTAAACATTTCTGTAGGCCTCTTCAGCAAGAATGAAACATCGTCCAATGCTTCGAATCTCTTGTTTTATCTGCTATACGTGAGATATGGATCAGGTCATTCGAGACTCACATTGTCTACATCCGATATTTATTGTCTCCTTCATTGAACTTTTCGAACGCTTTTTATGGAATTGTGCATAGATGTACTATGTATTATGCTTGTGATCTGTCCAAATCACTTTGCGCAAATACGACAGACTAAATATGAATTGATGATCGTTTTTCATCGTGGACCATGAAGTCTAGATCTTGACATCCGAGATTCAAATCTATTCAGACACTTGTGGAGCTTTTTGAAACGCGTCAATTTTAATTAAAGTTAGTCATTCGATTTTATTAATAAAAATAGTTAAAACTAAAACACTAAGGAACGGGAAACAAATTTGTCATCGTATAATAACAAGAATTCAAAAATCTTCTTGGAAAGGTTTTTATGCTGATGACATTGAATTACGATTATGGAAAAGTCTAAACTGCATCAAGAAAAAGCTCACTAGGAATTAAAGTATATGATTTTGATGAGAATAATTCAAAAAAGAATAAAGCTAATAAGTAGAAGAAACTGTTCATGTAGCCGTGGATTGTATTGGTTTGAAAAATGCGAGTCATTGAAATTACATGCAGAAACGCTTGGGAGGAGTTTTAATCTTATATCCTTGTGTTAGCAATTCATTGGGACCAACTATAAAAGCTGCAATGAGTCCAGCATCCATATGCCATTCAATGTGACAATGGAAGAGCCAAGCACCTGGATTATCGGCTAAGAGTCGTATCTTGACCCAGCCGGAAGCTGGTACGCTCACTGTGTCTCGTTTCAAGTATGCTCCACGATACAATTGTTCTGCTTCCGGATAGTCCGAAGTTGATATTACCCAAAAGTCATAACCATGAGAATGAAATGGATGTTCACCTTCATCTTGGTTTTCCAAAAGTATGTCGACAACTGCTCCATATGGAATCAAATAGTGTCCATAACCGTCATTTTGTATAGATGGTAATGGACTGTCACTGGTGATGATTGGAGATGGAATACCAAGTCCATTAGGTGACGTTGCCATCTGATAGAGTAGTGGCATATTCGGTGATGATATGCATTTCGGAATAGCCGTTTTATTGCTAGTATTAAGTTGAGTAATACCATATGTGACATTGTTCAAATATCCACGAGATATGTTAGAGGAATCCTGACGAAATGTGGTGACAAGTTTTAGATAATGTGTTGCATTTGGAACTATATTGGCTGTTGAAAAGAATGGTCGAGCAGTTAACATATTGGTATCTCCTGGAGTTCCTGAACCTGGATTATTCAATCTTGGTTGATTAGCGGGATATGTAGGCATTGAATTACTCGAATCAAGTGACAAAATACCCAGAAATAATGTATTGAAAAAAATTGGATACGGAAAAAGTGGAGTTCTGTATGGAGGAATATATGTATCAATCTCAACTGGATACATGTCTGCCATGGCTTGAAATCGAATATAAATTGATTTTGTTGGTGATACTTCAGCGGGTACAATGGTTTGGTCAAACTCATTCAAATCCACATAGCAAGAAACTCGTTGAGCAACGTTAAGAACAATAGAAGGCACTTTGTATGGCTGTACGCATGTTTGATCAAGTTCAATAACATGTAATGGTAATCCATCAATTGAAAAAGTATACATGGAGAATGCTGCAGCATTGATGATTCTAAAACGGATATGTTTTGAACCGTTAGTTGGCACGAACAACGACTCAGAGAATTTGCCATTGACAACAATAGCATCAGGTATGGGCTCAATGCCTGTTGGATTTTTTGCATTTAAATACCAAGATACTAACTTTGTTCGTCCAAGATCATTGTACCAATCAGCTACCATTAGTATACGCTCAGTATCATAGTATTGTTGATTCGGCTCTACTTTTCGACGAATGATCAATGGACCAATGAGACCATCTGCATATTGATCCAAATAGTGACCATGGTACCATGCAGTACCTGCCGGTGTAGCTTTGAATGTGTAATTCATTTCAGCATTAGGAGGAATGGGACATTGCGTGATACCAACCGCGCCATCCATGTCCTGTGTACCCTTTTGAGAAAGTCCATGCCAATGAACGGTCGTCGGTTGTGGAAGTTTATTGATTACCCGAATCATAAGAATATCATTTTCGTTTGCGTAGATTGGTGGACCAGGATATTGATAGTTCGCTGTTGGCATCGGCTTTGATGATGTAGGATATGGATAGCTATTATCAATAGTCAACGTCTGTGATACGATAGCTCCTTCCGTTCTCATCGCAGACATAACTATCAGGAAAATCAGCACAATTTCCATGGATTTCTTCTCTTTTTTTGATAGGCTAGACAAAAAAAAAAAACAACACTGATTAATATTAAATTATTTCTCTCACAAACATGATAGATCGTGTGTAGTACATATTATTCGAATTTGGCCTTTTAGAACAGTTCAACATTATTCTATGAATCTAGTCATCAATTATTAACTTTCAAGAAGCTATCAAGCATCGTTTGGATTATGCATCGAAAAATATAAGCTTATCTAACTGAAAAAGAATTGAACAACTTCTTAGAAAAAGAAAATTTTCTTATCTGTGTGTTGTCTAAATGCTTTCATTTTTGTTCTCATCTAACTTCTAGACGCTCCTCTTCAATATTTGTAGGAACGACAACCTCACAGACAGTGCAGTAGTGAGTGTCTCAGAAAGAAAAACATCTCAAGCATCTTTCTCGATTGTATAAGAAGCCAGAGTTTTATTAAGACTGGAAGATGGTGCGAAACTCAATGAAGGAATGCTTCTCGATAGAAGAAATCAACCGGTATGATTTGGATTCAATTAAAAGCTATCATCTACCATTCTCAAAAAGTGCTGTATTTCTTTTACAGTATCGGGACTATTATTAACAGAAGGCAATCTTTCATGTTTGCTGTGGATATTATCATAAACCAAATAGAAATAGATCAAAACAAGTAATTTTGTACGTCTCTACAATCTCTATTTACAGATGTTGCGAGGCACCTTGTAAAGAAACCAAAAATAAAAACTTCAATGGTTTTAAGCGATTTGTCAGCATAAAAAGTCGATGTGATGAGATGGAAATTCTGTTGGAATTAGCTGTTTCTTATGGTTTCAGTCGAAACATTTTTTCAAAATGTTAAATCGAAATGCAACTATTTCTAGATGAAGCTTTCTTTGATATAAGTCATAAATACATGTTCTACTAAAGAAAAAAGAAGTGATGTTAGAGAGGTCATGTGAAAAATTTCTAAACATATTCCAAAAACAAAAGAATATGCCATTATCTGTACTGTTTATAGAGTATTCAATGCTAACTTTCCTGAGAAACATTCGTTCGATACTATAGATTTCTAAAAAGACACGAAACAACAAGCTAATTAGGTAGCCATTGATTATGGTGTACCATGATTTTCTATCGACATGAAGGCGATGTCAAATCATAGAAAATTTAAACTGCTTTCTACTTATGACTATCGGTTTTTGACGAAAAAAATACAAAACAATACATAAATGCTAGGTGTCTTTCAAGAAAAATGTTCTTTCTCAAAATTTGTGCACCTATTTCCTTTTCATGAAAAAAGTTTTGTTTTTATTTTTATCTTTCATCATACTGTTGTTGAAAGATGAAAAAATGCAATATGTAGGTTAATGTAGTAAATACTGGTTGATCGCAACTATTCACATCGACCAAGAATGAAGTAGACGATTCTCAAACAATATCCATAATAGGAATACTTGCACTTCTGAGAAACTGTTATCTCTCGTTCCTGTTTTCACATTCTCAAATAACTTATAAGCACGATCGTGGCGTAATAGAACATTATGAAAACCTGATGTTGCGTTGATGAAACTATTCGCTCTATGGGTATGACTTTCCTGTTGTTTTCTAATAAATTTAAGTCATTTTTATTTGGAACTCAAATTAAAAAATAAATATAAACTATAGACAGTTTAATTTAGTGTATGTTTATATTATTGCAATGTAATTTATAGTTTCTTCAATGATAAAATAAGTAAATGACTGTATTTGTTTTTTTTGATATTTCATCCGAGTTAGACCAGTAACAAAAAAAAATAGTAAATACGCATAGCTATTTTAATAAAATAAAATGGTACAAAGTGCACATTTTTAAAAGCGTTCATAATGTGTTGAACTTTTCAACGCATATGCATCCGTTGGAAAAGTTTAATCCGTTTTGAATGCATAAAGTTTACGCTTATAATGATATTCTTTTCATTAAAATAGTGAAGTGCTATTTTTTTTTCAGTTGTTTGTGTGGCTCGGACGTTATGTCAAAAACAAATAAAATCATTTAGCTGAATTTATAATTCAACGAATGATAAATCATGTGGAATAATGTTAGTTTAAAATATACTAAGCATTCGATAATTTATATTTCTTTTTAAATTAAAATCTCATATAAAAATAATATGAATTTATTTTAAATTTATGTTATTGATAATTTAATTAACGCAAAAAAAATTGTTACCCCTAATGTGCTCTGAAAGTATTATCATAGACACATGCTTGGCGAAATAGTCATTTAAACGGAAGGCGTCAACGAACATTTTTTGAAGACCTTTTTTTTTCAATCTGTATTACTTTTCATTTGCAGCAATATTAAGTCTCTTGAAAATGGTAGAATAATTCATTAGTGAATGATTATGTTTCTACATAGACACTCGAAAACTATGTTGATAGTCGATGTTATAGATGTATTTTTAGGTTAGTGACTTTACAATACTTAATCTTTAATGTTGTTTCCGTCTAGAATTTTCGAATGTTTTCTAGCGAGTAAGTCAATCGTGATGATATGTAAAAACACTATGAAACGTTAATGATTCTAGTAAGAGTCAGAGAAGTTGTGTCGATACACAAAAGCAGACAAATGTCATGCAAAAATAGTGTCTTGGTAAAACATACCTTNTATTTCACGAATGGCTTAACCGAATGAGCTGAAATTTTTTAATGCCATACATCTTAGTGAATTCTATTTACCATAAAATTTACGCTCTAAAATATTGAGCCATTGGGATTTTATGAAGCACTTAATATATGAAAAAAGGTCCATTTTCTGTAACTTTGGCGCTTGAGAACTTTTGATAGGAATGATATCTGACTCTCACATTTTTACTGTTAATAGAACACTGAGAGATGTATCTCTCCTGAAAATTTCAGCTATCCATACCATTCTATTTGCTCATTGCAGCCCCGTGAAAAACGGAATTTTGATAAATGCGGGGACTTTCAGTATAGGCTTTCTTCCAAGAAATGGATTTTCTGCGGTGTTGGTTATTAGAACTTTGAAGTACTTTCTTTGGGCTACAATTCCGTAAAAAAATTAGCGTGGGATCTCCCAGAAAGGCCCCAGGGTACTCATTGCAAAACACGAAAAAATGAGCCTTTTTCTATGGGAAATCCACTCAAGTGCAATTCAAATTTCCTCCAAGGAATTGAGTATGTGATATAAATTTAATGTAGTAAAAATCAGCATTAAATTCTCTATTATCCTGTATCAAAATATCCTTTCTCGTAGAAAAAAAATTTTTACGAAAAATTCCCCTGGGGGGGGGTACAGGGTCTGTGAGAATAAAATATTACAGGAAGAGGCCTGGAGGGGGTAGGGGGATTTTTCGTAAAAATTTTTTTTTCATTTTCAAAGGATATTTTGATACAGGCTAATAGAGAATTAAATGCTGATTTTTACCAGATAAACTTTATGCCACATAGTAGAATCCTTCGAGAAATTTCGAAGTGCACTTAGGTAGATTTCCCATAGAAAAAGGCTCATTTTTTCGTGTTTTGCAATGAGTACTCTGGGGCCATTCTTGGAGATCCCACGCTAATTTTTTTACAGAATTGTAGCCCAAAGAAAGTACTCAAAGTTCTAATAACCAACACCCCAGACAATCCATTTCTTGGAAGAAAGCCTATCCTGAAAGTCCCCACATTTATCAAAATTCCGTTTCTCACGGGCTGCCCTGAGCAAATGGAACGGTATGGATAGCTGAAATTTTCGGGAGAGATACATCTCTCAGTGTCTTATTAACAGTAAAAATTTGAGAGCCAGATATCATTCCTCTCAAAAGTTATGAAGTGCCAAAGTTACGGAAATGGACCTTTTTTCATATATTGAGTGCTTCATAAAATCCCAAGGGCTCAATATTTTAAAGCGAAAATTTTATGGTAAATATAATTCACTAAGATATACGGCAATGAAAAATTTCAGCTCATTCGGTTAAGTTATTCGTGAGATATCGGTGCATTAGGACCCCTATTTATATATATATGGTCATTTTTAGGCCTTTTCATAAAATGCTGATAAAAAATCGAGGGTTCAATAGTTTTTTAATCGGCTTGCGTCAAAAAACATAAAACTCTTCCCTCTATAACATATCTCAAATTGAGCAAGTTCTGATGATATCGATTGAGCAACTTCGGTCGTGGCTTACTTGAACTGGCTCTTAAGTGAGATATATTCAAATTTTCGGAAAAAAGGACATCTCCAAAATTATCGTAAATTCTTACAGAACATAAAGAATCAACAAAACGTAAAGCAAAAAAAAAATTTAGTGGAAATTTCCAAAACTTGCCAAGGTATTCGAAACAAATCTCCAAGTAATTACCGAAACTTCCGTAGAAATTGGTTGGAAACATTTTTTTGATATTTCAATATGATACAAAACTGCATGACAAATTCGTTGTGAGTTTGTGGCAATTACCGTGCTTTTATTGATACACCGTATGACCCAAAAATCACTGGGTTGGTTTTGATTGCGAATAACTTTTGATAGAAATAAGAAAGAAAGGCACGATCTTCACCCTTGAAAAGAAGAAACTTGAGGGGAGACATTGAATCACATAAGAAATCTAATTTGTCTTTTTGAAAAAAATTTTAAAGATTTTTGAAAAACCAAAATTAAACTAACTGGTGTAGTCAGATTCTAAAGTGCTATGGGAACTTCGAAAATCGATTTTTCAAAGCCTTTCTAAAAATCTTTTTAAATATTATATTTCTAATATGGTTCAATGCCCTACGTACCCTCGTTTCAGCGATGAAAACGGCAGTCCTCTTTCTTGTTTCTATCAAAAGTTATCTGCAATCAGAAATTGCCTAGTGATTTATGGACTCTTCGGTAGATTGCTTGACTCTTAGTAGTTTCCTGGTAATTTCCTCTGTAGGTATTTCTTATTTCGCAGATTAATTAGAAATTTTCTTGTGGCATGAGTAAACACGGACAACTCTTGGAATTTTCCATCTGACGT